ATAGTTGCTGAAAATGCCCTTCTTCAACCACAATTAGTTCGTCTTAACATTTATTGCCGAAATCGGTCCCGGCGTATGTCTTAACTGATCACATTAATTTCGTATCCTTTGGGTTAATTCTTCTACAGTGTTGACTCTAGTTTTGTAAACGAGGGACTTTAAATGCCCCCAAAGAAAAAATTCTAACGGATTTAAATCTGGTAACCTGAGTAGCCATGACTGCGGACGTGTGCGCCCGATCCAGTTTTCTCTAAAAGTTGCATAAAAAAATTGGCGAGCTACTATGCTGAAGTGAGGTGGAGCCCCATCGTGCATAAGCCATATTGCTCCTCTTACTTCCAGTGGGACATTTTCTAAAAGTTGAGGTAGAATAAATTTAAAAAAATGACGAGAGTATCGACCATTTAATCTCCGGGGTAAAAAATGAGGTCCCATGAGCTAATCACCTACAATATCAATCCAAACGTTCACGGAAAACTTCAGTAACCGCATGATGATTTTCTTAAGCCTATATATGATTATTGTGAAAGTTAAGTTGGAATTTCGGGAAAAACACGCTTCATCGGTAAATAATATACTAGATAGAAATCTTGGAAACTCTACCTGTTGTTGCAAAAGCCAAGTACAATAAACGACTCGTTGGGGAAAATCGGCGGGTAATAACGCTTGAATACGCTGTATGTGGTAAGGATACAGTTGATATTCCCTTAAAATCTGCCATACAGTAAAGTGAGAGATGTTTAATTGTTCTGCAATTTTGCGTGTACTTGAATCGGGGCTACGCCAAACTTCATGTAAAGCTGCTTCCTCCATCTCCACTGTAGAATTGAGCCATTCCATAAACAAAATGTATAACGGTCATTTCTGTATTTGTATATTGAACCATTTTCAAAACTAGTAATTATATAGCTTAAGACGCTTAAAAACACTTCAAATAATTACTATCATTACTTATGGACTGCTTTAAGTATGTCAAAGTCAGAAGTCAGATTTGTTTGAGTAGCAATTGTTTCCCTTTCATGGCACTCTTATTTTTTGTTACTTTTAAAACATTGCTGTTATAAATTATTACGTTATGTGATTATTTTATGTTGTTTTGTTTTATCGCAATTAGTTTTAAATACGTGCCAAAAAATTCAAGAGATGACTTTGGTCTAATGTTAATGCTTAATTAGTTTGGTGGTTTTAATGTTTTATTATGTTATTATCCTAGGGATATGCAAAAAAGTGCTTATTTTTTATCTCGCTAACGAAGTGAGATATGAAAGAAACTCAGGAGACAAAAAAGTTGGGAATACTCAGTGGCGCACAATTTTTTTTCAAAGATATTGGTTAGGGTGTTTTCCGGAACGCCATTGAACTTAATAATGTTAATCTAATTGGGGATAAATTAGCTCCTTGTTGCTCTGAATACCACTGCTGAATTGAAACAAAATCGACTGAAAGTTTATCAAGATATTTAGGGAAAACCCGACTTCTTAGGTTATGGTAAGAAGTACAGCCTGAGCAAGAATTTCTTTCAAGTGACGAAGGAGAAGATGACTATTTGAATGAAAATGATGTAAACAGTGAAACGGGGCAAGAGATAAGTGAAAATGATGAAGATCACGAGCTTGACGACAGAAACATAGGCCCGTTCTACGTTGGAAAAGATGGGACAACAAAACGGTTCAAACATTCAGGTCGTCCAAATATAAGAACAAGATCAGAGAATATCGTTACCCAGATTCCGATTGTTAGAGGACTGTATAAAGAAGGTCAAACGGTATTAAAATGCTGAAGCTACTTCATTTCTACTGGAATTCTCGAAGAAAATGTAATTCATACAAACAAAAAGATTCAAACCTATTCAAATAACTACTCAAAAGATGACCAGTATAAAGTAAAAGAAACCGATAATGCAGAGTTAGACGCATTATTTGGCATTTTATATTTGGCAGGCTACTACAAATCAGGACGTCAAAATGTCAAAGATCTGTGGTCAACTGACGACTTAGGTGTACCAGCCTTTAGAAAAACCATGACTTATCAACTATTCAATTTTATTCTGTGTTGCCTCCGTTTTGACGATTCTGAGACCAGAAAAGAGAGAGTGGCATTTGATAAATTGGCGCCGATAAGATCAATCTTTAAATCCTTCACATCAAACTGTAGGACAGTTTATTCTCCAAGTATGTATCTTACTATTAATGAACAGTTGATTGTTTTTCGTGGGAACTGTTCCTTTAGACAGTATATTCCAAGCAAGCCGTCAAAGTACGGCTTGAAGATATTCGCTGACAGATGCGAGATGCTTCTATGCTGTAAACTTGGAGGTATACGTTCGTTTGCAACCTGAGGGACCCTTTATCAATCAACTGGAAGATGTAGTCCTTCGACTGATAGAGCCAGTATCAGGAAGTGGTCGAAATGTTACTTTCGATAACTAGTTTACCAGCTACAGTTTGGTGCTTCGTTTGTTGATAGAACACCGTCTAACATCTGTTGGCACCGTCCGTAAAAATAAACGTGAATTGCCGCTAAGTATGGTTTCTACAGAAGGAAGAGCTTTACCGTCAAGCATTTTTATATATCAAAAACAGATAACAGTAGTGTCGTACACTGAAAAGAAGAAGAAAAAAATTCATAAATTGTTTTCCGACACAACACTGCCAATTACACAAAAAGCAGACGGGACTTTTTGAGAATCTTGGGAATGCAACTAATAAAAAGTCATCAAGAACGCAGACTGCAAAATAAACGGTTCAGCAAAAATTCACGCGGGGAACAATTTGCTAGTCCAAATGAAATGCCAAAAAAAAAGACTTCTGTCCACGTAATTCAGATAGAAAATCACAATATTTCTGTTTCAACTGTAAAAAAGCAGCGTGTTTGCAGCACGCAAATTTCATGTGCAACGACTGCAAGAATAAAGACGATGTCTAATAACTATTATAATATGTTATATATATGTGCCTACTGTTATCATTCATAAGCGAATTAGTATACGCATTAGGTTTATCATTTTCTATGTTTGTTCAGTTTCAGTTTGAATTGTGCGCGTTTTATGTTTTATAACAATACTATAAAGATTTTGACTTCATTATAATACCTTTTAGAAATTGAGAATGTTTAATTTCCAATTCAAGTATTGTGGAACACTGATTTTCATTATAGTGCTTTGAGACTGGGGCCTGAGAGACTCGACCAGACTTATATTGTACGTTCGATTCATCAAACTCCCGGTAGGCTAATACTGCGTATACTTTGTCTGTTTGTTTTGTGCAAAAAATGGCCCAAGTTTACGAAAACAATGAACTAGTGGACATAACACTAACATACGGAGAGTGCCGACAAAATGCAGCCGCAGCATGCAGGTTGTATGCGGAAAGATTTCCTTTAGTAAATCATCCGGCACCACGGATGTTTATAAATTTAGTTTAATTAGACTTCGTGACACAAGATATTTAAAAGAACAACGAGGAAGTTACGCTGGAAGACCTGCTCAACCTGAAATATTACAAATTAAGGAAGAGATTTTAGAAATGGTCGAAGAAGACCCTACAATGAGTACTAGACAGCTCAAGTTGAAGTTTCACATAGTAAAGTGAGGAATACAATACGAAGAGAACAGTATTATCAATATCATTATGAACGGATGGAAGCGTTACAACCTGAAGGTTATCCTAGAACAGTTGCATTTTCCTAGTGGCTTTTAGAAAAGTTCGGCAGAAAGGAATATTTTACGAAATTAATTTTGTGTACAGATAAGGCCACTTTTACACGAAATGGAGTGCACAATGTTCAAGAAAATCATGTTTGGGCAGTGGAAAATCCGAATACTGCAAGAACTCATTTTCAACATAGATTTACATTAAATATTTGGGCTGGCGTGGTGAATGGCATGCTTATTGGACCTTACTTTTTTGCACCTCGACTGAGTGATGTTCCTCTAAATGTGGGAAAGAACACGTGGTTCCTACATAATGGGGATCCACCACATTTTAGACGAGAAGTTCATGAACATCTAAATAATGAGTTTCCGAATAGATGGAACAGATTTAACGCCTTGAGATTATTTTCTGTGGGGCTATTTGAAAGAGTTGATGTATCATGATGGAGCAGTGAATACTCGAAGAACTTCAACAGCGCACTGAAAGTGCTTGTGATTTAATTCGTGGCCAGCAGAATTTTATTTTCGAAGCTTGTAAAGAGTCGTGGATTCGCCGGCTCCGAGATTTTGCATTAATCGGACAAATAGGGACAATTTTGAATAGTTTTTGTAAAAATGGTATCCATTTAGTAATGATTGTTTTAAATAATTTCTATAATGTAAACTAACTGTCTGATTATGCGCTATTAAAATAAATGACTCAACTTTGAAAACACCCTGTATATATAGAGTGCTTTTGGCAAAATTGAATTAAAATTCTACTTAAATTTCAACTAATCGCAGAGATTATATTATAAATCTCATGTAATACAGATTGGCTCAGCTTGGGGAGAACCCTGTACATGCACAACTTTGTCATACTTAAATTTTATAAAAAAATCTCTTCATTAATTTTGTGGGCCTTCAAACATTTAGAAACTAAAATAGCGAGAGCAAAAACAGTGGGAAAAGAGAATGTTTTTAATGAAAAGTGAGTAAAAGTGAAATGGATTGAAAAAAGTACGTCGCCAGCATCTCTGCGTTTCAGACGATCCTAGTCATTTTCGGAATTTTTTTGTATGGGTTAAAAATTTGAGCCTAGGAGTTGCGGGGGGTGAAAGAGGGCAAAAACTTAGAAATACATATCCCCTACAGTCAGGTGTCGTTCTTAGCGAACTTTTTTCTCGGAAGGGCTAACTTGTGCCAAATATAATCAGTTACGAACTGATATTAAGTGCAGAGTCAACTTTACGTTACACAGTCACAGTAGGTATATAGTGGATCTCTAGTCCCTGTATATGGGACCCTGGACTATAATAATGTAGCGTTTTTCTGGGTTCTTTTCGGTGTGGATGAAAACACTGGATTCCACAAAAATAAATGCACTAATTTATTTAACTTGATAGAACATTTATATACACCACTATTTATGTCTGACTAATTCTTATGTTGCCATTGACTGCACTATACTCCACTCCGCTCTGCACTGGTGTAATCTGTACTCTCCGCCTCCATCTCCCGGCCGCCGAGTTATATATAGTCCGAATTGCTGCTTCGAGAAAGGCCGGGTGAACCACAAAGCGACATCTAGAATATTGGAGGTCACTTCGCGTCGATCTAGAAGGCGATCCACTATCACGGCCCTCACAGATGCTGCCAGGCGGCTTGTGTGGTCGTGGTTCGCGTAAAAGCAGAGATCGGCCATTAAGCTCTGACGAGTAGGAGACTTGCCCAACAGATCGCACCTATTTGTCACACTGCCCCCTCCCTAAAGTCATTCCGTCCCGGAATGATCTTACTGGCGGTGGATGCCGATATCGGCACGAAGGCCCTCTCTTGCAGTAGGAGTTCTTGAAGAAGTAACAAGACACACTCTTTCCAGGAGGTAGCCGTCTAGGATTGTGACAACATAAAAGAAATCGAATACCTGTATACCGGAAGACTACCTCAAGCATGCTTCGAATGATTTTCCAGTCCAGGTTGTCCGGTCCACATGCCAGCTTAGGTATTGCCAGTTTTCTTAGGTCCTCGGCAATCAAGACTTCTCTAAGCGAGCACAAAGCGTTCCAAACATCTTCGTAATTCAGTTTCAGATACGAAGCTTTCTTGGTAACTAGATAGAAGATCTTTCGGTTGGTCCCCTCTTCAGTTATCTGGAGTACTTCTTCGACTTCCGGGTTAGATCGTCTACGAATTACGGGCTTTAAAAGTGAGAATTCGTATGTGCACCGAATTATATTTAGTTCTTTTATATATTGGATTTAAATATATCTGAACCTTGCCTTGATATTCATGTGGTATTTATTTTGATGAAAATGACACTTAAGAATTTGAGATCACAGTATAAAATTAGATTATTATTTGGAATAAATAAAACTGTTATTCGCCGGAACGTATAGTCTATATTATATTTTTTTATCCTCTCACCTCGATTTTCCAACAGAAATTTTCATTTTCCACGTTTGATTAACGAAAAAAATTAAAAATAAATTCAGATCATAGGCACATAGTTCGAATTAACTCAAACCTCTCTAAGCTGGTCCAGGCTAAGTTAAAACCATTACGAATCGTTTTTGCATCACTTCGATTTTCCACCAAAAGTTTACATTTTTCCACTATTGGTTAATTAGTAAAATCAAAAATAAGAAGTCTGGATAATATGTACGTAGCTCGCATTTGCTCATACGGTCATACGTTTTTCCATCATATCATCTTGTTTTTCCAATATAAATTGTTGTTTTTCCACTTTTGATTAATAAGAAAAATTGGAAATAATAAATCAAGGTCACACGTAGATAGCCTGAGGTAATTTAACCTCCTCTAAACTTGTGGAAATCATCACGAATCATTTCTCCGTCATATTGCCCCGTTTTTAAAACAAAAGTTTTTGTTTTCCCACCTATGGTTAATACACAAATAATATAATATGTTGAGAAGGCGCGATTGTATGTAGCTTGAGGTTATTTAAATTTTTGTGTAGATTTCTAGGCTAAGTGGCTTCCCAACAAACAGTTTCGCTATTCCTCCATGGATTAATGAACAAATTATAGTATATTAAGTTACGATTGTATGAGTGTAGTCCGAACTTGCTTAAATTCTTTTCCAGGGTTCGTAGAGATCTTTTTGTTTCCATCCTATCTTCTTGGTTTGCCAATAAGAACTTGCGTTTCTCTACCTTTGTTTAATTGCAAAATTCAAAAATAGTAAGTCAGGTTTACATGTACCTAGCCTGCATTTTCTTTTTATTGAAATTTAAATTTTCCGGATCACGTTGATACCGTTTTTCCATCATATTCCCTGGCGTTTCTACCAAAAATAATCGTTTTCCACATTGGGTCAAACAGAGAAATTCTGAATGACTAGGTCGCACTTACTGATACATTTATAAAATCATCTCGACTACGTGAAAATTCTCACGAACCGTTTTTTTCATTGTATCACCTTGTTTTTCCACCTCTAGTTAACGAGAAAACTTAAAAATAAGAAGTTAGGGGCCACATGTTGTAGTTCTTTTGAATGATAGGCATTTTGAACTTCTGTGTCAGTCTGCGCGGTAGGCATTTTGCACTTGTCCACACGATATAGACTGCTCATCCGATTTTTGATTATCTTCAATACTCAGTACAGTATTACTTGTGGCTAGATCTTACAAACTTGGACAACAAAAAAACTTCTCCTTACTATTTTCCTCGAGTTTTTGTCAAATAAGAACTCGCGGTTTTACTGGAACTACTACATGTGACCCCTAACTTCTTATTTTTAAGTTTTCTCGTTAAATAAAGGTGAAAAACGAGCATGTTTGATAGACCAACAAGGTGATAAAATGAAAAACCGGTTTGTGAGAATTTCCTCGTAGTTGAGATGATTTTATAAATGTACGAGTAAGTTCATCCAAACTTTCTCTGATTTATCAATGTGGAAAAACTATTATTTTGGTAGAAACACCCAGTGATATGATTGAAAAACGGTTCATGAAAATCTCCACGTGATTCAGAAAATTTAAATAAAATAAGAAAAAATTTAAAATAAATAAAATAAAAATTAAATTTAAGGTCATGCAGGCTAGGTATACACGTAAAGCTGACTTACTATTTTTGAATTTTGCAATTAATCAAAGGTATAAAAACGAAAGTTTTTGTTGGAAAACCAAGAAGACATAATGAAAACACAACTCAAACTCTACAAAGAATTTAAGCAAGTTCGGGCTACACATATACAATCGCAACTTAATATAATTTGTTTATTAACCCAAGGTGGAACAACGAAAGTTTTATTGGGAAGCCACGTAGCCTAGAAAACTATACCAACATTTAAATAAGTTTGGGCTACATACAAATGCGTGTAAAGGTAGCTCCAAAAGCTGGCTCCACAATCGTACGCGCCGCTAGATTACAGGGGACCGAATAAATTAATATTGTCGGCCTGCGATACGCCGAGGCCGCAGCGTTTACTCATAGGAGCCCGTGACGTGAATACGAGGTGAGCGCAGTAATTATATATATTCTATCTGTGCCTATGAGAGGTATGCTATTGCAGAATTGCATTAAATGGTTCTGCAAAGTTTGTACGTTCGTGTCTAAAGCTAGTCGTACACATCAACTCATCACAAACAGACCTGTCGTTACAGTGCGTGCTACTCTCTGAAACTTATGAAACATTTTTTTTTCGTGAAAAGTTGAAGAAGTTCCTTGTGCTTTACAGGGTTCAAAGTACACAAGAAGAGCTATTATGATCAGTTATCAAAAAGCAGTTACAAACGGTCTTACACCACAGCTCCAAAGAAAGAAGTCTGTCGCGTGCGGTGCGCGCTACTCCCTAAAATTTAGGAAACATTTGCCCAGAAAACTGGAAATTTGCTCATGTGCAACCCATCCCAAAAAAAGGATCTAAGACCGACCCTTACAACTACAGGCTTATAGCTCTGCTTTCTGTTATAAGCAAGGTGATGGTGACCCCTACTAGTAAAACACTAATCAGTTATTTTTAGCTTGTAAAAATTGGCTGCTAAGTTCACGCGAATGCCCGTAAGAAATGGCTGCTAGAAACTGGCTGCTAACTTCACACCTGTCATTAATTTCAGATTACAGTGTGTCTGAAAAATTCGCTAACCGCACAATAATTTGTGGGTAATAATGGTACAAAAACTAAGCCCCACAATTGATAGGAGTTTTCCCCTGCTATATAATGGTGCCCTTGGATTTGAACTTGTCCATAACCTTAATTGCAGACCATGAACATACCCAATGATGACCTTGTATCTTACCTTAATAATGATTACCTGAAAGGTCATGTGAAGGTCAAGTCGAGTTTTGTAGCCAGGGAACAATCTTGATGGTCAAGTCCAAGGTTAAGTTCTATAATCGAAAATAATTGTTTTTCTTTTCTTCATTTCCATCAAAAAATGACTGACCTTCAAATGACCTCGAAGGTCATGGTAAAGGTCAAATCCAAAGTCACCATTGGATAGCTGGGGAAAACTAATATCAATCAAGGGACTTGAATCACACTGCCAAACAATGGAAATGTAAACATATTGCCTTTATTTTCAGAAGCATTGTCATACTACTATCCAATTGATGCCTTATGATGATTTCAGAATAATGGCGCAACATGTCAGAGATCTGCATTTTTATTAAGAAGTTTTTCGAGTCCACGGTCTAGCACCACTAACGAGAACTGATACTCAAATTTTCGCGAAGAACCGGAATAGGGGAAGACGGATGTGACGTCATCCAAATGTCAAAAAATCACATGGTACGGTTAATCGCCTAACGTCGGTGAGGTACTAGCGGGTGGCAGGACTTATGTCAATGTCATTTAAAAAACACATCTCAATTGAAAATTTGTCTTCGCAGAGCTGAAAATTGAGTTAAATTATTAAATCACAAATACAGGAATACGTCCACCTGATTATAAATGACGCGGGAGAAGGTCATCGTATATATAGGAACCGCACTTGTCATATCACATGCTTGATTTTATTGATATATGTGTATATGCACATTGCACAAAACATAATCGGTCTTTTTATTTCAGATTCAAAGAAGGCAGCGATGTTTATCAAGGAGCTCAAGCAACTCACAAACCGGCGCGAAATATTCGACTTGGCTGCAAAAATTTCGCGGCGATGAATTCGCGATCAGATTAAAACGCGGCGGTTTACGGACAGGCTCAGACTTGTGCGAAGCGAATGCGATTGTTCCAGCGTTTTTATCGCGACGTATTTCAGTTCGCCTTTGACCGCGTTTTTGACGCCGTTCTTCAAAAATTCGCAATAGCAAAAACGGAATTATTGATAGAAATAGTGCAAAAGTATCCTTGTTTGTATGATTTGTCGAACGATGAATACAGGAATGTGAGAAAGAAAGACAAGATTTGGATGGAAATAGGAAAAGAATTAAATACAAATGGTATGTTGGTATGTACCTAATATTTTTTATTAACTTGTTAAATAATTTACAGTCTACACAAATGTGAAAACGAACATTCTATATATTGGGCATAGGCATATCAGAGTTAAAATAATTTACGAATTTGTCACGAGTAGAAAATGCTAGCCTTGCTGCCCGCCGAGGATCATTTGCTATATCAGTAAAAGCTCCAAGCACGGCTTCTGGGGGATCTAAGAATTGAAAATATTTGTCAACCCCACTTTTACTTCGTAAAAAATTGTGTAAAACACATGTCGTACGTACAATTAGAATAGTAGTATCTACTTTAGTTTCTAATGGCCTGTAAAATATTCGCCATCTTTGAGACAAAATACCAAACGCATTTTCCACGACCCTTCTAGCTCGACAAAGTCTTACATTGTATTTCTCTTTTCTGACGTCTGTTAAAGTCTGCTTATAAGGAAATGTATGGTTTTAAAGCAAATGCTTCATCACCAATTAAGACGTACGAGCAGATTTCATTTTGCCCAGGGAGAAATCTAGGTGCAGGGACACTCATTAAATTTTGTTCAAATCGTTTTCCCATGTTTGAGGTTTCGAAAATACCCCCATCACTATTTTTTCCGAAACCACCAATATCAACACATAAATTTATAGTTCGGGCCAACAATGGCCATAAGTACTATTGAATATTTATGTAAATAGCACCAGTAATTGGAGCCACTGTGGTTAGGTCTCTTGATTGTTACATGTTTACCGTCCACGCTGCCAATGCAATTGGGAAATCCCCATCTATTTTCAAATTCTTC